GAAAGAGAGACCCATGGCTAATGGGATTCCAATAAACGGAATAAATCTGGATGCTTCCTCTGCTGCAATTAATGCAGCTGTGCGTCCCACTTGGGTCATGACCTTCAAGAGGAGCTCTTTAGTTATTTCTGCTGCAGCCAGTGGTGAAATGATGACAGCACGTAGATCAGCGTAGGGCACACCTGTTCTGGCAGAAAGTCTCTGCAGAGACGGGACATCGAGACCAAACGCAAAAACATAATGTGTGACAGCACCAACCAGCAAAGCAAGGTCAACAGCAATAGAAAGACCAGGAAGTGGAACAGCTGCTCCAGCTGCAGACAGAGTGGCCAACCAATATAATTGACGCTTGAAAGCTTTTTTCTTCTTCCTGATGATCTCTGGGTTGATGTTGGGCATGACGAACAGAAGAGCATCTCTTTTGTTTGAAGGAAGGTCTCTCTCTAAGGTCTTATGTAAGAGAGAGAAGTCGTACAGGTGGAGCTCAAAGCTGGACACCAGGAAGACCTGCGGAGACTCGAAGCCTAATCCTCTGAGTCCTGTTTCACAGAAGGAGTTAACATGATTACACACATAAAAACAAATAATGTAAAGTTAAGACCTGAATATTAAAGTGAATCCATAAACTGATCAGACACTCACTGTGAACGCAGTCGTCTCTGATTACTTTGAGAGTTCTCTCTTCACTGAAGTCTCTCTTTCTTCTCTCAGCATTTATATCGTTGTCAATTTTTGAGTGAACAAAGTAGAACTTTTTCTTCATCTTTTGAATCTCCTGAGCCAGTTTCACGTCATTTTCCGTGAAGCGAGTGGCTGAGATGATGATGAAGAAGTCAAACTTCTCAAATCCAACAAGCTTCAGGTACTTATCAGCTGGAAACTTGATGGTGCCGATCCCAGGAAGATCCCACAACATAACATTGGGATAGTTTGGATGGGGGTACGGTGTGACCTCTGAGGTGGTTTCTGTAACACCAGTAGGAGCAGCTCCCTCCTCATCATCACATAGTCCTCTGAAGGCGTTAACAAAGGTGGATTTCCCTGAGCCAGCTTCTCCTGTGATGCCGATATTTAGTGGGATATTATTTTGTTGTTTTAAATTTTCTTCAATCTTTGCAGCTGCTGCAGCAGTGTCGTTGTTCTGCAGGGCTTCTTTAACTCCAGGAATGTCTTCCATATATAAGTCATCTGGGTCCTCCATGCTGATCCTTAAACAAGGAGAAAAAATGTGGAAAATGTGACTTTTTTATTGAACTGCAGAATTTGTGCTTAGCTACTTTAATTTGACATTTAAATTTAGTCATTCGTTATGATCGGATTAAACCCAAACCTGAAGATCAATCTTTAAAGTTGATTTTGAGGTGGGATCTCAGTTTTTGGTATATGTCTATTTTAAGTTTTGGGAGGCCACTGGAATAAAAATAAAACTAGTTTAACATGTTGCTCCATGAGAAGCTGTGAGTGTATCATCAGTCATGTAGTGACTGTTGTTGTTTAAATGTGAGGCTTTTAGACATGAAACACACCATAAACATGGATGTTAGAAGAAAACTAGTGAAGAACATGAATAAGACTGAAGGCGGGTCAGTGCTGATTCATATTAGCTCATAAAGCAGAATTACTGAGACGTCTGCAGATTATTTGATTATTTATTTCAGTGCGCTGTGCAATTTTTTAATCCTATTTAAAGATCGCTCCAATGTAAATTAATGAACACATCAGTTATTTCTTATTTCCACATTTTCTCCCATGATGCTCCTTCTATGGCCGATCATCAACAAAGTGATTAAAATTATAGTTTTGACCATTGTTAAAAAAAGAAGAAGAAGAAGTGTATATGTGGCTAATGGAGCGCATCGTGCACAGTTTGCATTGTAAATATTAACCACAGTGAAACAAGTAATGGCAATAAAAACACATACAGCTGAGCTGTGATGTCATCAAGTACACTGCAGCTCCAGCTGTGCGTCCTGGAAAGTCTGGACTCCCGAGTCAAACTGCCGAGTACGAACCAGGAACTGACTGACTAACTGAGCAAAGCTCTCTGATACTGTCTGATACTGAGGAACACCTCTTACATGTCTGAGTCTTTAGAAGAAGAGATCAATAAGAATATGGCAACAAAAACTAGCTGTGACACTTTTTAATTTCATTAACCGGTTATTTAAACGAACCTGCAGCTGTGACTTCAGTCATTTTGGAAAGTTTATGGTAACCTGCAATCATCTAAAATAAATCTAAAAGTATTTATTCTCATAGTTGGAAAGACCGAGACTTTTAAAAATCAGATTGTGTGTGTGTGTGTGTGTGTGTGTGTAAAGCTTCCGTATTCGTAGCTTAATTACAACCACAAACCCACAGATGTCCTGAAGGCTGTGTGTACGTGTTTTCTCTGTGACAGCAGAATGAAATCTGCGGCATTAATGACACAAACACAAGAACGACCCTCTGAACCAATCAAGAGCAGGGACACGTGACAGCAGCAAGACGTTTGCAGAACGTGTGATCACATGATGGAGGTTTACCTGCGTGCTGTTGGAGTGATGATAAGAGCTGTACCCAACAGTGAGTCTGGTGATGGATGGAGCTGGTGGAAGTCCGTGTGCGTACTGGTCTCTGAACTCTGAACCTCCACCTATATGTGTGTCCTGTAGCTCCGCCCCCTGAAAACAGCAAAGCATGTCTGATCTTTGGTCTTTCCTGTAGCTGTGAGTGGTAAAGAAATGGTCACCGCTCCAAAGACGAGCGTGCGCACAGCACTGCAAGCAGGATTCTGCAGAGACTTGAAACTTAAGTTAATATTGAGGTTTGAATTTATTCCCGGAGCCTGTGAACTGCCAGCTTTTTGTAACTGTGTTATTCATGTTCTTCATGAATTCAGTTTTAGCTCTGTAAATAATTTACTCAATCATTTCAAATCGATTTGTTAAAAGGCGGCTTTTCTGGGAGGTTTTGATGGCTGGGAAATAGTCCTTGACCTTACTCTGTCATTTGTGCAAAATACCAGTGAACTGATGCCTGTTGACATCAGTAAGGTAATCATTTATTTTTCTGAGTGTGTGTTATGTTCAGCAGCGGAGTGTCATTCACTCTGGGGGCTTTGGAGGAGGCCATGAACAAAGGTGGCAAAGACCGTCTGAGGGCTGGGCAGGCGGCCGGTGATAAAGACAGCGGAGAAACCAGCGTGACGCCTGCCGTCCAGTTTTGGAAATCAGGGCCTCGATTCAGGCAACACCCTCAGGCTCTGACAGCTGGAGCTGTGCAGGACCCTCTGGAGGCTTAATTCCTTTTTTATTTAAATGATCCAGACTGGCTCCAGGATAACTACTTTGTGTTAAATAACCACTGAGTAGTTAGTTTGACTGGGACGCCTCAGTAAATCTGTCGTTCTACCATCATCCACTCTGATAAGTACTTTAGAGATGCTCCTCACCCTGTGGGATCTACTATCTATCTGCTGCTGACTGATGTCTTGTGTTGTTTATTTCTTTAATTCAGTATCTGTGATGAAGCTGACGTCCATCTCTCAGTGAAGAAAGTGTGCTGTATTGATGGTTTCAGCAGTGGCTTAGACTGATTATGTCCTATAATGTTGAAAAAGAAAGTTAATCATTGAAAAAAGTCAGTTAATGATGAACAGTCAGAGTAATTAGAGTTTCAGTATCAGCTACAGTAAACGCTGAATGCTTAAAGCCTGGTTTTACAGCCAGCTGTATAAGTACAATGCAGAGTCTTATCATAGTTTCGATGACGGGGCAGTAACCATTCAGTCAGGTCACAGGGATGTTTTCACTGACAAACTCCACCATGTACAGCAGATGAACCCAGACTCACTGCACTCGGTGAGTCTGGATGAAGAGGATTAAGAAGAATAATGTGTCATAAATGACTCATGTGGTCAGTCTTCATTCTGTTTTTGTTTTCACTTTGAGGCTGGAGGTGTTATTGACAGGATACAAAGCAGGTCTCCTCCTGCTGTGGCTGACCAACAAGGACATAATGACGTTTACATCTGCTCCAGTTTTATTTATACAGCACCAACTCAGGAAAAGCTCAGTGAGATTTATATAAAAAGGTAAAGACCCTACAATGTTACAGAGAACACCTCAACAATCAAATGATGAGGAGCACTTTGGTACAATGGGGAGGAAGAACTCCCTTTTAACAGAAAGAGACCTCCAGCAGAACTAGAATCGGGGAGGATGAATTCTCTCCTGTGATTGGAAGTGGGAGGATGCAAAGGAGAGAAAAAAAAACACAGCACAAAACTGAAAATGGAGAAAAGAAAATCTAACAACAATTCAATTAAAGTTTTATTTATACAGAAGAAGAAACACTCGGTGCATCATGGGAATCCCCCAGCAGCCTACAGCTATACCAGCGTGTGAAAGACTCAGAGACACACAGCGTTCTGTAACTGTTTCTTTCTTTTATTTAACGTTATGGCGCACACAGTGCTTCCAGCTCGCCACCTCTGATTTCTCTGTGGCCATTTTTCCAGTTGTCTGCACGCTCCACTGCCGTTCCTCGACGTCACTAAAGAAGGAACAGAGTTCATCGATGTGATTCCTTCCACCTGACTCTCAACCTCCCTGGCACTGCCCCTCGAGCCCGCTGCACCACCCCTCCACTGCAGCAGAGCCAGAGACCACACCCCTGCTACACAGCGTAACTTCAGGGTCTCCTGATCCAGCCCTAACTATATGTGTGGTGGGGCGTGGCCTG